TATGTCACAGTAAGCTTGATGCTGGCTATTAGTTTGAAATATGTTTATAAAATACATTTATTACGTTATTATTTATTTAAATCTTACCATAAAAGTAACATTCCTTATTTTTAGTTCATTCTGTTTCATTTTCAACGAAAATATCTGTAACATTTTATCTAATATCTTTGAGACAGTCATCAAATACCACAAGGTTCTCTTTTTCTTTTATCTAATACAAACTATAACGATGTATGATATATTGAGCCATTCTGGCGTTCCTGGAATAAACACCTTTTGATCGGAGTATTATCATTTTACCATAATGCTGATTCTATCTGCTAATATTTTATTTATAATATGTATAAGTGAACTCATAAGCAAAACTAGCTTTGGGGTTTAACTTGTTTTCAAATCATCACGTTTTAGTACCCAGTGGTCACACCAGGGGAAAAAAAACTCAAAACTCTATCCTTTCTAAAGTTCCAGGTTTAAATTTTTTGCCTGCATTTCAACTTATTCAACTAACATTTCTCAAGTACCCACTGTGTATTTGTTAGGCATTGGCAAAATATTTTTTTAAAAAACATGTTATCTTTGGTGGGGCACCTCGTTGGCTCAGTTGGTTAAGCTTCCAACTCTTGATTTTGGCTCAAGTCATGATCTCAGGGTTGTGAGATCAAGCCCGACGTTGGGCTTCCGGCTCAGCAGGAAGTCTGCTTAAGGATTCTCTCCCTCTTCCCCTCCCCCTATAGGTGTGCACATGCAGATGCACGCCCCTCTTTCTCTCTCTCACAAATACATAAATCTTCAAAGTAAACTTTTAAAAAAATGTATCTTTGGGGGCACCTGGATGGCTCAGTAAGAGGAGCATGGTCAGGGTTGTGGATTCAACCCCCACGTTGGGTACAGAGATTACTTAAAAATAAGATCTTTAGGGGCGCCTGGGTGGCTTAATTGGTTAAGTGACCCAACTCTTGATTTCAGTTAGGTCATGATCTTGAGGTCATGAGATTAAGCCCTGTGTTAGGCTCTGTGCTGGGCATGGAGCTTAAGATTCTCTCTCTCTCCCTTTGCCCCTCCACCCCATCCCCACCCCCCAGCTCGCAGTCTATCTCTCTCAAAAAAATAAAAATAAAATAAATAAAATAAAATCTTTTTTAAAAAATGTATCTTTGAGGGGTGCCTGGGTGGCTCAGTTGGTTAAGCGACTGCCTTTGGCTCAGGTCATGATCCTGGAGTCCTGGAATCGAGTCCCACATCGGGCTCGGGAGGGCATCTGCTTCTCCCTCTGACCCTCCCCCCTCTCATGCTCTCTCTATCTCATTCCCTCTCTCAAATAAATAAAATCTTTAAAAAAAATGTATCTTTGATGCAAAAAATTAAGTGAATAATGAAGAAACATACATGTAAATATAAATATACTATAATATGATTGATTCATCTACATATATGTATAAAGCTACACAAGGAAAACTTCACAGAAGAACTGAAATTTGGTCTAAGTCTTGACGGTAAATAGGAGAAACTGAAAAAAGAACAAGAATTCTAAAGATTTCTTTTTTTTTTTTTTTTTTACATTTGGTTCCAGGGGTACCTGGGTGGCTCATCCGGTTAAGCATCTGACTCTTGATTTCATTCAGGTCATGATCTCAGGGTTGTGAGATAAAGCCCCACTTAGGGCTTCTCGCTCAGCAGGGAGTCTGCTTTTCTTCCTTTCCCTCTGCCCCCCCCAACTTGTGCTTGCTCTCTCTCTCTAAAATAAATAAATCTTTTTAAAAAAAGAACATTTGTTTCTGAAGCAATCATTTCCACTTGCTCTTAAAGATTTTAATTCGTATTATTTTGTCTCCTATAAAATGATGCTATCTTACTAACAGCAACTGGAATTGTGTGTTGGTATGATTGACAAGGCCTATATTTCTTTCCACATTATGTACATAAGTGGGACTTGATATTTGTAGAGCTTGTTATTTGAAAATCAGTCTTAAATTCATGTTTTTTTTCCTACTGGTTTTTCAAATTCACCGTATTTCTGCTTATTCTCTGCTAGAATAACAATGTGGCTTTTCACAATCCTTAACTATTCACCACTTATTAACTCTAAAACTCAAAATTAAAGAGGCATAATAAAAAAAGAATGAGATCTGGGGCGCCTGGGTGGCTCAATCGTTAAGCGTCTGCCTTCGGCTCAGGTCATGATTCCAGGTCCTGGGATCGAGCCCCACATTGGGCTCCCTGCTCGGCGGGAAGCCTGCTTCTCCCTCTCCCACTCCCACTGCTTGTGTTCCCTCTCTCGCTGTGTCTCTCTCTGTCAAATAAATAAACAAAATCTTAAAAAAAAAAAAAGAATGAGATCTTGCCACTTATGACAACATGGATGGACCCAGAGGGTATTATGCTAAGTGAAAAAAGTGAGACAAAGACAAATATCATATGATTTTACTTATTTGTGGAATCTAAAAAACAAAATAAAAGAAAAAACAAAAAGCAGAAACAGTCCAAAAATACAGAGAACTGATGGTTCCAAGAGGGGAGATGGGTTGGGGAGGATGGACAAAATGGGTAAAGGACAGTGGGAGATACAGGCTTCCAGTTATGGAATGAGTAAGTGACAAGGATAAAAGGTACAGCAGAGGAAATATAGTCAATGGTATTGTAATAGCACTGTATGGTGACAGATGGTAGCAAATACTGTTGGGAGCATAGCGCATTATGTACGGACTTGTCAAATCACCATATTGTACACCTGAAAATAACATAACATTGTATGTCAACTCTACTTCAATTTAAATTTTTTTAAAATAAATAAATGGGCATAGGTCGAAATATTCAGAACAGAAGCACTAAAAACCTAACATTCGAAATTCATGATGTTGGTACAGATTTCATGTTGCACGCTGTGTAAGATTATCACAACTTCTCTAACAGTGTTCTATGGCCAGGTCACAAAGTAAAGTAAATTCAAAGTAAACTGAAACAAACTCAGAATGTTCCTTGACATAGCAGTTGATTAACAATTTTCTAAAATATTACAGTCTGATAATTTGAAGAGCATAACATGTACATAGCTGCAGATTAATCATAAGAACATATTACATGCTGCTAGGAACATCAACTGGTCCAATCACTCTGGAAGATAAGATTATTCAGTTTCAAAAATGTACACACACTTTGAGCAAATTCATTTCTAGGAATTTATCCTAAATACAAAAATTAATGTACAGAGATACACGGTTAAGGATATTCAGTGCAGCACAGTTTTATAATACTGAAAAATTAATATGAAAATAAAATTTTCAACAGCAAAAGGTATTCAAATAAATGCAACGGAACTTTAGAAATTCATCAGAAATTACAAAACCCTACCTGTACCTGACAAAAGAAAGGTGGTCAAAACAAATTATTAAGAAAAGCAGGTGACATTGCATTATGCATCCTGCATTAATATAGTAGCCACTAGCTGCATGTAGACACTTTAAATTTGACTAAATTTAATTCTGGATTAATTATATTTAAATAGAATTTAAAATTCAGTTCCTCAGTCACACTAGCCACATTACAAGGGCTCAATGGGCACATGTAACTAGTGGCTACCATAATGAACAGAGCAGATACAGAACATTTCCATCATCACAGAAACTTATATTAGACAATACTAATGGATAGCATTCTTTTTTTTTTTTAAGATTTATTTATTTATTTGAGAGAGAAAGAGAGAGAGAGCGCAGGGGTGAAGGGGTAGAGAGAATCCCAAGCAGACTCCCCGCTGAGTGCAGAGCCCGAGGACACAGGGCTCGATCCCTCAATTGCACAACCCTGAGATCATGACCTGAGCCAAAATCAAGAGTCAGATGCTCAGCCGACTAAGCCACCCAGTGCCCCGAGTATTCTACCTTCTTAAGAGAAAGAAATATAGAAAAAATGTATACATAATAAAAATGACTGGAAACATATACATAACAGTTATCTCTAGGTAATGATACCTGGGGTTTTGATTTTTTGCTAATCTATTTCCTAATCTTACTACAATAACGTACAGTGACTTTACTGTGTAATAAAATCATGTTATTTAAAAAACACTGAATTTCCCCTTTATCAAAAATAAAATATCCTCACTGTAAAATATTTCAGAATTTTTACAAAAGGAGAAGTTATAGAACTTCAAATATAGAAGTATTCTTTTAAAGTTGCTATTTTGCTGTTTTGGGAATATTCCACTTTTTTAAAATTTCTTTCCTCATATTTCATTCAGACTGACACTAACACAGTTCTGAGATTTTTTTTCCCCATCCAAATGGCTAAAGTCTCTGGCCACATAGAGAAAATTATATGTCAATTTTTTAAATTCAATGTAAGATGAATTTTTCATTTATACTTTCTTAAAATGAATCATTACCTAGAAAAGCAAAAAATTATCAACAGTCACAGTGGTCAGCTAAAGTCTGAGTTTCCTCTATAAAAAATAACTGCACTGTGCCTCTATATCATTCTTTCTCACTGTGCCTCCATGGCAGCAAATGATTTTTATTACCTATCTTTTACAGCAAGGCAAGTTTCCATGGAAACCACAGGGCAAACATCCATTACTACCGCCAAGGACTATAAAAGCACACCTAAACTGAGGTAACCACTTACTTTCTCTTAGTAATATTCTAAAATTAAATAATAGTTAGGTACTCTGATTCTGGTTTTGTTGTGTGTGTCTCTATGAACAAATTAAGAGATGAGTAACAAAGAAAATTCTCTGCCCCTCTAGCAACAAAATGAGTCTACAGAAACCAAATGGAGGGGGGAAAAAAGATACAGAAAGTTATCAAGCCAGTATACACACCAGTCAATGCCATCTCATGCAACAGAGCCAATCAAAACAGCAATCAGTAAAGCACTTAAATACCAAAGAAGAAATTACTTTCCACTAACTCAGTAGAACATGTAAATTTATCTAAGCTAAGATGCTGACTACTCAAGGGGGAAAAAAAGACCATCAGTAAGTCTTAAGGGAAAAAGCAGTCACTCACCTCTCTCAACACACTGTTCTCTTTTTCCTTCTGCTCCAAAAGGCTTTCTAGGTGGTGGACATGCATCTCTGCCTCTGCCAGTCGTCTTGTTCTCTCATGGTCTTCTTCAGTAGCCTTAGCAGAAAGTCCTTTGCTCTGCAACATCTCCAGAAGTTTCTTGATGGATTCATCCCGAGCATTTAGAGTTTGCTTCTGAGTCTCAATACGCAGCTCCATTTCCTCCAAAGTCTTTCGAAGAAGGAACAGCTCTTTGGCCTGCCGCTCATGCTCAGCATGTAGCCTCTGAAAGTTCTCCTCCGTCAGCTCTGTCACACAGGGTTCACCAGTCCTACTGCTACTATCTTGCTGAAACAGCTGGTTCAGGTCCCTTTGGATCCGCAATTCATCCTGGAGAGCCTGGATTGTCATCTGCATGTGCTAGAATCAAGACAAAAAAACCCCCAAATCAGCTTTCCTCCTCAAGTAGAAAAAAACGAAGCAGACTGGGGAAGTCAGTCAGAGAGTAGCTACCACAGCTCTCAGAACCCTGAATTCAATTAGGATTCGCATTATTCTGTTTTACATTGTCTTAAAAAAATGATTGAGATAATCTATAAAATCTCAGTTATTTAACTTGTGTTTATTCCCAAAAGGAAACAAGGTAAGTATGACAGCGCCTCACTCTGCATGAACCATGACAAAATAAAGATATTGTTCAAAATCAGAAGGTATTACATAGAACTAAAGGGTAGGGGAGGAAAAAGGGGAAATCTATAGGATTACAAACACATCATACAAAAGTTTCACCAAAATGGGTGCCTAAATAGCTCTGTCAGTTGACTGTCCAACTCTTGATTTCGGCTCAGGTCATGATCTCAGGGTTGTGAGACAGAGCCCTACACTGGGCTCCCCGCTCAGCAGGGAGTCTGCTTGAGATTCTCTCTCTCCCTCTGCCCCTCCCCACACACTCATGCACACTCTCTCTCAAATAAATAATTAAAAAAAAAGTTTCACAAAAAAATACAAAGGATATCAAAATACAAAATGACTTTCAAAGATTTAAATTCACATATTAAATAATAACTAACATTTAATGAGTAGTATCTACCAAATTGTGCCAAGCACTTTTTATGTGTTAATCCACTTAATCTCCATGACACACATACTATTATTTTGATTTTATGGATGATGACTCTAGCCTTACAGGGTCATCATCAATGTGTTGACCCTAGTCTTACAGGCCTTAACAGTTACTAAATAAGTAACTCACAGTAAATAATGGAGCTGTCACTGAAACCAAAGCCCACTGAAACTAGTACTACCCAGAGAAAATAACATGACTTAAAGCTTTCAGAAGAGGGGGAAAAAAAACAGACTATGAGAGCTTTTCATACAGGGAAAGATAACAATATAGGTGACTAATTAAATGAAGATATTAATGCAGATAAACTATAAAATGTTTGAGAGGGCATATCTTTAGCCTGTACCCCTAATGAAGGTATATGGACCTTTAATCTGAATGGATAAATTGCAGCACATTATACAAAGAATCTAAAAGTATGTCACAAGAATATTTTTAGAAATAAAAAAGCAACAACAAAATCACCCCTTGTACTGAAGGTATTTAAGGACTGGCAGTATGCCACCATGGAAAGAACACTAACACACAATCAGAAGACATGAGTTTTAGCGCCATCTCTCACACTAACTGCAATGCAATATTGGACGCAATGTCACTTTCTGCATTTCAGATTCCTCATATTTAAAAATAAATAAGGATTTAAATACCTGCACCATCTTTTTAAAGAGATAATAATATCATGGAAATCTTGGTGTAATTTATATTTTAAAACATATGTTGTTAAAAAATTTTGGTGGACTACAAAATAGCAGTGTAGTAAATATCTCAAGAAATGACCTGGCAAGGGTACAAAGGTGTATGTACAAAGATACTCATTCTTGTTTATAATAGTGACAAAATTAGAAACAACCTAAATAGATATTAATAGGTGATGAGCTACAGTAAGTGAGAAATGTCCACACATTACTATGCATCCATAAAAAAAAAGCAATGAAGATTATATTTACTGATTAAAAACTATGATCACAATATATTGCTTTAAGCATAAAAAAGCTGACTACACAATACCAAGTATAGGATGATCTCAATTCTAATTTTTATTTTTTTTAAGATTTTATTCATTTGAGAGTGAGAGAGAGGGAAAGAGCACAAGCAGGGGGAAAGGCAGATGGAGAAGGAGAAGCAGACTCCCCACCGATCAGAGAGTCCAATGTGGAGCCCAATTCCAGGACCCTTGGGATCAGGACCCGAAGCGAAGGCAGACACCCAACCGACTGAGCCACCCAGGCGCCCCTCAATTCTAATTTTTAAAAGAGTATATATACATGGAGATAAAAGCCTAAAAGGATATACAAACAATTACCAATGACTATCCCTGGGTATGGTTAGCTTTTATATTTCGCCTCATACTTTTCTATACTTATCTAACCATGTAATCCTTTTGTGATTTATTTTTTTTCCTTTTGTAATTTAAAAAAAAAAAACAAAACCTTTTTACCTAAAACTAAGAAAAACAGACTTCAGAGATGTCTGCTTGATGTAGAACACCATGTTCGATTTACTACCACTTTTGTTAAAAGTGGGGGAGTAATATTTACCATTTACTATAAATAAAATATTCATAAGAAATAAAAGTATTTCTGGAAAGTCACGCAAATAATTTTTTTAAAAAATAAAACAAGAGGGCATCTCGGTGACTGAGTTGGTTGGGCGTCCAACTCTTGATTTCGGCTTGGGTCATGCTCTCAGGGTCATGAGATTGAGCCCTGTAACTGGCTCTGTGCTGATTGTGGGGCCTGTTTGGGATTCTCTCTCTCCCCCTCTGTCCTTCCCTCTCTAATAAAAATAAAAAAAAAAAAAGGAAAACTAGAATAGTTGAGGGACAACTTCTAAGAACACTTTATTAGAAATTTATTGTATTCCTCTTGAAAATTTTACCTGAAGTATAATTGACATTGAAATTTTTTTAGTAACAGCTTTACTGAAATACAATTCACATACCATAAAGTTCACCTGTTTTAAGTGTATAATTCAGTGGTTTTTAGTATATTAAAAGTTGTACATCGAACAGTACCAATTCTAGAACACTTCCATCACCCCTTGGAGAAATTCCATGCCAATCAGCAATCGCTTCCCATCTTCCCTCCTCCCAACCTTCCTCTTGAATTTGAACAGATGTTCTACCTATTCAAAAATTAAATTTTAAAAATGTCTATATTTTAAACTTAAAAAGGAATGAAATTCTGAAACAGGCTACAACATGGATGAAATTTTAGGACATTACACTAAATAAATCAGTCACAAAAGACAAATGTTTTTTTTTTTTTTTTTGTAAAGATTTTATTTATTTGAGAGAGAGAGAATGAGAGAGAGCACGAGAGGGAAGAGGGTCAGAGGGAGAAGCAGACTCCCTGCTGAGCAGGGAGCCCGATGTGGGACTCAATCCCGGGACTCCAGGATCAGGACCTGAGCCGAAGGCAGTTGCTTAACCAACTAAGCCACCCAGGCGCCCCACAAAAGACAAATGTTATATGATTCCATTTACACGAGGTATCTAGAGTAGTCAAATTTATAGATGCGGAAAGTAGAAGAGTGGCTGCCAGGGCCTGGAAAAAGTGGAGGTTGGGGAGGGATGGGGAGCCACTGTTAAACGGGTATGGAGATTCAATTTTACAGGATGAAAAGAGTTCTGGAGATGGATGGTGGTAATGTTTGCACAACAATGTACTTTATGTCATTGAACTGTACACTTGAAAAATAGTTAAGATGGCAAATGTAAGGGGCGCCTGGGTGGCTCAGTAGGTTAAGCGACTGCCTTGGGCTCAGGTCATGATCCCAGGGTCCAGGATCGAGTCCAGCATCAGGTTCCCTGCTCGGTGGGGAGTCTGCTCTTCCCTCTGCCTGCTGCACTCCCTGCTTGTGCGCTCCCTCTCCCTCTGTCAAATAAATAAATAAAATCTTCAAAAAAAAAAAAGATGGTAAATGTAAGGTGTATTTTACAATAAAGAAAATGAGGAAAAAATGATGCCTGCCATAAAATTCCAATGTATGGATATTAAATAATTTATTTATGACTACTGATAAATATTTAGGTTGGTTCTCGGTTTTCACTATTACAACAGGCACCTTCATATGTCTATGTTTGTACGTGTATCCAAATTTTTCCTAGGGATAAATTGTCAAAGGTGGAATTGCTGAATTGGAGAATATGCAATTATAATTTGATATATATTAAAATTATCTCTAAAAGGTCTGTACACATTTAAACTTAACACCAAAGCATATCTGGGAGTGGCCATTTCCCACACATTTGAAAACTCCGGGTATTTTCTTTCTTTTGCTGGCATTTCTTCAATTATAAGCATGGCTGAGTATCTATCCACATATCTACTGGCACCTTGTATTCCTTCCTTTGTGACTCATCTGTTCTTGTTCTTTGCCCATGTTGTTATTTTCCTAAGTGGATTAAATAACCTTTGCCTGCTATCTATGTTACAAATATGTTTCCAAGTCTGTCATTTTTCTTTTAACAAAATTTATGGTGACTATTACAGAGATTTTTTTTTTTTTTAGTGCAAACATACCAAATGTTTCTTTCATAGTTTCTGGTTTTGCTATTATGCTTAGCAAGTAGTGAATTTTCAATTCTGGTAATCTTCAACCTTCTGAAAAGCACTGCTTTTTTCTTAACAAGGATAAAAGTATCAAATATTTTAATTCAGAAATAGGATTTTTTAAATGAATTTAACTGTCAGCATCACCCTGTAAAGATTCTTAACAGGTGTTAGAGTTCAAAATCCTTAATAAAAAAATGTGTCAAAACGCTCATAATTCTCTGAAATCTATGATCAATTCTGGTTTCCTTCTTCACCTCTGGAAGTCAAAAAACCCAGATAAAGTCTGAGTGAATTTATCCCAAAGGGAAATATCAGAAGTTAGATTCAACAATGAAACTGATTTCTAAGTACAACTGTTCCTCCTTTTTTGAACATTCATCACTATTCAAGTCAGGAGAAACAGATGTTGACTATAGCTAATAGTTTCACATAGTACTTATGATTAAATCTAGTATGGCAATTATCATTTTGGTGAAGAAATAAATTACAGCTACTAATGTGTCTACTTCTTCAGCTCTGCTTGCACCCATTTTACTATGAAATAGAAATAAAATGATAGTTTGGTAGCCTAGAAAGCTACAGCAATCTTCTCCATTGAAATAGGAATCAACATCCCTACTTTAAGCTACATTCAAGTGGGAAGGATGGGGTGGCTGGGTGATGGACCTTGGGGAGGGTACGTGATATGGTGAGCACTGTGAATTGTGTAAGACTGACAAATCACAGATCTGTACCCCTGA